CCCCAAAACCCCAAAACCCCAAAACCCCAAAACCCCAAGATAAGTAAAATATATAGAAACATAACTCACAATGGCTTCTGAAAAAATAAAAGGCCTAATCTGTGTAATTGGAGGGATAATCCTTCACCTTTTCCTCGGATGTTTCTATTTATGGGGAAATATACAGGTCTACATCACTTCATACTTGCATAAACATGACCCGAGCATTACTTTAGAAGACACCAATGTAGTTTTTGTTCTTCTGAATTTAGGCCAAACACTCTCAATGCCAATTGGTCCTTTATTGTTCGATTACCTCCCAGTGCAGTTGATCTTTATCATTGGAGCCTCTATCTCAATTGGAGGAGTGTTTATCTCCTCTTTTGTAACCAATCTATATTTGTATGAGCTCATGTATCCACTTTGATTTGGTCTTGGAATAGGATTTTGATATATGCCAGCAGTGATGTGAGGTTGGGAGTACTTCCCACAATGGAAGGGAGCTGTTACAGGATCTATAATAGCTGGCTTCGGATTTGCATCCTTTATATTCGGGTTTGTCTCTATAGCTATTACCAATCCTGATGGGGAGCAAGCTGAACTTAAAGTTGCTGGAGGCAAAATCTTTAGTACTGAAAGTCCTGTTTCCTCGAATGCACCTTCAATGCTTCGAATTATGTGTGGTATTTGGTGTGTGTTTTTAATTTTGGCATTACTTATGATTCACCGCAATACAGCTTCTCTTGTACCTCAAATCCCAATATCAAGCGCAAGAATGCATAGCAACGATGTAGCACTTACCTCAATGGCTGAACAAGCCCAAGATACTTCGAACTCTGACTATTCAAACGAACCTACTCTTGGTGAAGCATTGAGAGACTACAGAGTGTATTACCTCTATGCAGCAATGTTTCTTGCTTCGAGTTTTCCTTACTTCATTGCAAGTTCTTTCAAGACTTATGAACAAATTGACCTTCACGACGACAGATTTATCACTCTGGTTGGGTCTTTAGGAGCAGTCACCAATGGACTTTCAAGAGGAGTCTGGGCAACCCTCATGGACTTTATAGGATACAAGAAAGTAGTCATGGGACTATTAACTCTCGAAATTATAATCGCATTTACATTTGTTGCTGTGCATGAGGTGAAGACTCTCTATCTAATATGGGTGCTGGCATCTTTCTCCATTCTCGGAGGGCAATTTGCAACATTACCTACATTATGTGGGAAAATTTTTGGACTACATACTGGAGGAAAAATCTTTACTATTATCTTTTCCACATTTCTTATAGTATCCTTTGCAAACTATATTTTTGCAACAATGGAAGCAAGAGGCTATATCGAATACTCCACCTTATTCTATATTCTTGGACTAATGGCCACTGCAGCGTTATGTATGATATTCTTCTTAGATGTTAGTCCACATGTTAAAACTTTATCTTCGAAAGATCACGATAAGCAGAGGAATGACAATAAAATTGAAGAGCAATTGGTTGACTAGTCTTAACTACTTCTGTTACATTTTAACAGAATACTGCACCAAGCTAAAACTTGTTAGCAATTAATAAGTAAATTCAGTAGCAAAGTTTTAGATAGGGGTTTTGGGGTTTTGGGGTTTTGGGGG